CTAAAAACAATAAAAGACTAATCTTTAGACAGATTACCCATAAGGCCTGTCCGTGCCCCAGCTCTAATAAGCATTGAATTCACTTGGCTTCACGGCCCTGAGGTGCATGCTATTAGAGATCATTTTGCCAGCTGGCCTGTAATTTTAACTTTGAGATGAGATTTGCATTTTTAATAAGAGGTAAGAGGCCATGAGAGGTTATGAAATAACTGAGTGATTTAGTATAGAATGAGAAGTGGTCCAAGTACAGATCTCAGTGGAACACCAGAGGATTGTTGGTGTGCAGATTAATTGGATGTTTTCTATGGTACCTGACAGGCTTAGTAATGCAGGAGGAATTTGAATTTAAGAGCTCTGCACTTTAGATGCCCATCTCATAGGATAGTGTGGTTTATGGTTTCAATTATTAAAGAAATATATTATAAAATAGAAGTACAATAATTGTGATATTTGGGGAAGTATGTCCTTCCTACGGATATAATGCATTGTGGTAGTATCTGCTAGTGCCGGAAAATAGATAGTGATCTCAATATTAAAATAGCCAACTTATCAGAGTTAGAGAAATCAGAGAAATTATGGGTAAATAAGTGAAAAGATTAAGAAAAAATAAGTGAAAGATTAGGAAAAGACATTGTGGAGTTACAGACTTCATAGAAGTTCTCAGATCTTGCATCTTGGCTAAAACAATTCACAAGCTAAGGACAGACATTAAGCTAAGAAGAGAATTACCGAAAAATCATTTTACTTCCTTGTCCAAGAAGCTGACATCTATATCTAGTTACATGAAACCTGTCATGCAGCATTACTGATATGCTTTAGGAAGAATGTATTTTCAGTAAAAGGTGTAACCGATGTATATAAAGAAACATGTTCCTCTGCATGACCAGACCAGCTTCCATCATGAAGACGCTAGTGTGTGCTCTTATTGTGGTGCTTCTCTGCAGTGCCTCAGGTAAGACAAAAGCTTTTCTCTTTCCATCTATCTATCCATTCATCCATCCTTTATCTTCCTGCTCAAAATGGGTTAGAGCTTACTGAATCATACAAATTCACAAATAAATCATTTCAATGCAATTTGTGAATTGGTTCAACTGATTAATTGAAAAGAATAGATTCAAACTAAAGATTTGTTCATGAACCGGATATTGCTATCATGTCTCAGAGGAAAGAATATGTTTTTATGAAATGTAGTGGAGTAAATTGTCAAATATTACGCTTTGGAATGTAGTTAAAAGTTTTTCAAAATGCTCTGATGAAGTGCAGATACTTTCACCATTGCTATCTATCTGTCTAATATGTAATAGTGCACTCGCTGACATGCTACACCTGTGTGGATGGGGACTGCAAGACCCCAACTCAATGCCCAGCCTCAAGCAACTTCTGCAAAACAGTTTCAACAGGTAAGCAATTAATATTACAATTATTTATTTACTCAATTTTCAATAGTCATTAACATCCAATGCCATCTTTGTATCATGATATACTACCTTTTGTTAATATTTTGAATTTGATTCTATTTTGTACTTTTTTAGCATTTTTTGTCATTTTTATTAGTATTTTTTTTTAATGTCTATATAGTTTTAGTTTATTTAGTTGTAATTTTAGCTCTTCAACTTAAACTAAACAAAACTGACAAATGTTGCCTTGGTAACTAGCTTAAATAAAATACATTTAAAAAAATATTTGATATATTTTAGTTAATGTTTATTTTATTTCAATTTTGGTTTCAGTTTTAGTTTTTGTTAACAAAAATAACCTTAGTAACAGATTCATATTTATTACCCCTCGGTTGGTGATTAAAAAAGGAGAATGTAATTTCTTTATTAAAGGTCTGTATTATAGAAGTTTAGATAGGATATTGAGCTGTTTTCTCGTTATGCTCTAAACCATAGCCACTGTGTTCAGCCGGACATGTGAGGAGTTCTGTGTTCCTGGAGTGAACGTCTACTGCTGCACTTCTGATCTGTGTGACTGATCGCTCAACGTCATCAAGTCATCGAATCAGTCACTAATGTTCACTGTAATAGCGTAGCACAAAAAATATCCCTGGGTTACTCTAGGTGTTTCATTTCTCTAATGACCTTTTCCCATCTGAATCAACATGGTTTGCTTTACATAGCACTGCTTAAAGGAATGTCTAATAAGCTTGGTTTCTGTCCCAGCTCTGTATGATTTGATTTATGAATTAAATGTTGCTCAGTAAAATGCTGTGTATGGGTGTGTTCAGTATCAGAGGAATGTAGGTCATTCAAGAGAGATGTTATGATGCCATATGCGTCTGGATTAACTGCTGCTTTTAACAGATGAGAAGACTGGAAGCTAAACATGCAGTCCAGGCATTAATATCGCTCACGAAATGCAAAAAAATGCATATCGAATGTTGATTAAAGGTGATTTAAAACATAATTACTTGCATGTTTCCATACAAGCTTAACTCCATTAGAGATGATGAGATGCTCTGTACACTTCAACCAATCACAAGTTTTAGTCAACAAGTTTATTGTTCAGTCTGTGTATTATGACAAAAGTAACTTTCGCACAGATAACTGTTGTTCTCATTATATTATGCATAATAATACTAACTGTGATTATAATTTTTTTAATTTAAATTGCAGTCTTCTATACATGCATATACACATTATTTTAAAAATACCTTTACACAAAAAAATCTGGGCTGCTTCTAATAATGTTAATTCAAACAAGGAAATGTGGGACAGACGTGAATTAATCCTCCCGTCTTTATTTCCATTTCCATGACTGCAGGGTTTGTTATTAAAGAGATTTGAGGATTTTCTTCCTTTAAAAATAACCAGCTGGGAACCTGCGCACCTTCTTTCACACAGCGACCGGCACAGCAATTTATCTTGTCATGTTCTTTAATGGACAGCAAAAGATTAAGAGCCGGAGGCCTCGGTGTGTTGAATTGACATGGCATTTTTGTCAATTTACAAGTTCTAAGAAATGAGCGAGTGAATGAGCTGTCGTTTCTGAGAATCTGAGCTCTTTCGCTGATTAAGGGAGAGTGAGATTTCCAAGATTTGTCAAGAAAGAGGAAGAAAAGAGGGGGAACAGGACACATAACAGTGATGGATTAAACTTTAACTGAGCTGAGGTTGTAGAAAAAGGCCTTGTCATCTTGGATTGGCCACGGTCAAAGTGAATTCCAGTTTGCAACCCATTTTAGTTCTGCAATTGGAGTGTAATTTGACACTAAATGAGGAAAAAATGTTGGATGAGGCTTAATTGTATCTATTGCAAGCTGATTGGACAGTGAAAAGTGGGTGTTACCCACCAAACATTTTTTAAAATGATACCTAAATACCTATTTGGCAATAAATGATGTCAACATAAAGGGAAGTCATTTAAGAGGAAGATCAATTTTATATATAATAAAGATTGCAATAGCAACAATTGCATATATTAATTTGGAATAACACCACTAATGGATTGCACAATGGATTATGCATAATAAGACCAGGAACGTGCATTAAGAAATTAAATTCATTTTTGATTCACATTTGCTTCATTTTGATTTCTTGTTGACTTTACAATAGAATCTGCTACTTGAATTACCTCAGAATATGCATTTGTAAACATGCAGAACTTATCATTAAATTCACGAGGGCACATTAATTATTTGAGTGCATTAGTTGTGCTAGTGCCAGACCAGCCATCACCTCAAACTGCCCTTTTCATTGCAACATAAAAGAAATGAACCGATTGCATAATTGGGCAAACTTCCAAAAATCAAAACAAGCAGATTATCACTGAAGCAAATCAAATGTCTGACGACCTTCACATTCATCTGCGTGCACAGTCAGAGGGAAACCATGAACACCTTGGTTTCATATTGACCTATTTTCTGCACCAGCTTAGACATTCTTGAAGCAGATTCACCTTCTGTCCTGAGGTCTGAAACGCTACGTTGTGCACCATAATCCTCTGGGTCTATTTCAAGACAATTCCAGATATAAGCGACTTAAGGACTGTTGACAAGACATCACATGCACTTTGGCTAAGAAACACTAGCTGTGCTAGCAGGTAGTGTCACATGCCAAGACAGCGCATCCTCAGCAGGGCAGATTTCCTCTAGCTGAGAATGGAAGAAAAAAGCTTTGCATAAGTGAATAAAGTTCTTATTACAAAATGTCATTCCACACTCCTTGAGTAGCATGTAGAAAGTGAAACTGCACTTAAGGGGAAATTTCTGTGTGACCTGAGCTTTACAGTTCTTTCGATGGTGTAACCTTATGTAGTGAGGATGATTCAGTCGTATTAAATACCATTTTTGAGCTAAAGTTAGTTCAGATGGTTCCACATGAAGTATATTTTAGGTTACCTAATGTATTTTACAGTGCAGTCAAGCTTTTTGAAGGTACTTGAATGATGAATTCTCCTAAGGGCTGTGCTTTAATGTCACCTTCATTTCCCTTTCCCTGTGGATGGAGTCAGAACATGGTGCTCGGTTAATAAAATATTTCTCACTGCCATATTCAAGTATATTTCTATGTCACCAGCATGAAATAAGCTCCTTGTGTAGAGACTGCAGGTGTTTTGTTCCAATAAAATTTGTTTGTTTTCAGTCTAAATTTAATGTACTTTTTAGAGAAAATATGGCTAAATAAAATATTTAAAAATATATATTTTTTTGTTTGTTTGTTTTTGTTTCAGTTGTCTGGAGTAAGTGATGCATCCAAAAATTTGCAAATATATATAAAAAAAACCTTTTACATACCTATGTACCACATTTTTAAATGAGTCCAGTGACTGGCGTTTACAGTAAATTACGCAAACGGCTGTTGTGGTGACTGTCATAGTGCAAACAAATGCTCTCAACCCAGTTCACTGGTAAGTAAACAACATCAGCATTAACAAGCTCAGCAGTTGATTGAGGGGCTGCCTGGAGTGGTAATGGTCCTCCACATCTATTGGATTAGAGGAAGGATGTCATTCAGTATTAATCTGTGAGCAGTAGGCAGCCTGGAACACTAAGCACTCTGCTCTGTGTCTGCCTCTGGCTCGTCCCATTGTTCATCCTGTGCTGTGGGCACTGGAAAGAAACCATACTTTCCAGAATGAATCTCTTCTGCTTTTCTCTGGTAAGTGATTCACCTTTTCTGCTCTGTGGTTTGTAGACTGACAGTGTGTGGATGAATGAAACGTGACCTCCTGGAGGATGTGAAGGCAACATGTGACAGTGCATGAAGATCAGGAACCAAGCTTTAGCTGCTCAGGAGGGCCTTTTATTGTGCTTTCTTTTGGTTAAGAAGTCAAGTTATTAGTTTATTATGGCTTACATGTGTAGCCCTTGCATTAAAGATACATTTTATTTATCTTACCTTCACAATATTTAATTAAATTAAATTATTATTATTATTTTACTTTATAAAAACAAAACACATTGGTGAAATGTGTAGATTGAACTGAGTTTCTCTGCCAGATGCTGTGTTGTTTTGTGCAGTTTATGATTAATGGTGGTCTCGCTTCACTGAATTCACGCTGGTCTGATCTTCTGTAAGCAAACTAACGCTTCTGGTTATTTGTGTCATCTTTTGCACAAATGGATTTGCGCTCAAATGCACTATAAACACTGTGTAATAAATCAGGGTCTTAAACAGGTGGTCTGTGACCCCTAGTGGATCGGTGGTTGTACTACATTAATTGTTTGATTTCTGACTAATTTTTGTTTAAAAAAAAGAGATGATTTGCTTTAGACAAAACTACATTATGAACTTAGTTTCAACCAAAGCTAAAGTTAAGAAGCTTAAATTAAGCTAAATGCTCTACTGTTACACCCATAATACATTTTAGAAAGTTAATTTTAAATGCACTTGCGTATGACACTGTATATCAACAATTATTTTAATGTTGATTATTAATTATTTTAAATTATTATTATACTATATGCCTGTTTAAAATGCCAGGCTTAAAATGCAACACTTAATTTTATACAAGGTACAAACAGGGTTATTTTATTATCTTTTTTGTATCGAATATTTTGAACGTTTTTTTATTTTTAGATTTTCTGTTTATGTTCATTTTAGTTAAAGTTTTAATAATTTTGTTGTTTTTTGTCATATAGTTTATTTTTATTTCAGTTTTATTTAAATACAGTAAGATAAACTAAATGAAAATGAAATTTTAAAGTTTTAGTAATTTTGTTCTGTTTTTGTCATTTTATTAGCTTTTAAATGTATTATTTTTATATTTCATTTAATACTTTTAGATTTTTTATTTCAGTTTATTTTATTTCTAGTAACAAACTTTAATACAGTAAGATAAACTAAATGAAAATGAAATTTTAAAGTTTTAGTAATTTTGTTCTGTTTTTGTCATTTTATTAGCTTTATTAGGATTATTTTTAGGATTATTATTATTATATAGGATATTAGGATTATTTTTATATTTCATTTAATACTTTTAGATTTTTTATTTCAGTTTATTTTATTTCTAGTAACAAATTCTTTTAAGATTTTAGTGTTAGTTAACTATAATAATCATGTTTGTAACAAGGTCCGTCGGGGGGATTGAAGACCCTCGTAATAAATCAGATATTTAGTGAGTCTTACATACATTTTACTTTACATTATTAGCAGCGTGGGTTGTGACCGACATGATGTTGTTTTGTAGGAGGGCTCTATGGACAGCCTGTACGAGGCCGTGCAGGAGTCCTGTGAGGCTCAAGTGTACACCATCCCCAGCAGGTCCTGCAGCCCAGCTGTTCTCTCAGACGACGCCACCAAATGGAGAAGTGCGGGCCGTTCCATCTCCATGGTAACTATAGAAATGACTGCTGGAATGTTGAATCCGTATACTGCACTGTCATGGGAAATGTATCGGCCATCTGGCCGCACGCTATAACACTGCTGTGGACATGATGAGCTACCATTAAATGAAAGCTGCTGCTAATAGATTGTGCTGTAACCATATGGAAATATATTAAGGTCTATCTGAGGCCTGCCTATGAGAGAGAAACCTGAAATGACAGGCCTGCGAAATCTTGAGAACACGTTTCACATAATTTCACAATTTCAAATAAATATATACAACAACACATGACTCTGCATGTTAAAGTTTCTAGATAAAATGACCAAACTGCCTCATACTGTATTTGTTTACAGGAAATTTCACAAATCAACTCAAAAAAGAAACAAAGGTGAGTCCAATCTGTGTTTTTAGTGAACAAAGAGAAAAATGTTGAACTTTTGAGGCTTTCACACCGACAGAGAATGCAAAATGTACTCTCTGTGAATGTTTGTACTTTCTTTAAATGTTTCCTTGCATCTTCTTTCAGTTCACTACCAAAATCTGTTTCTGAAAATGAAGCTTTGGGTATGTGATATTTTGAGAGATATTTTATACATTTTCCTAAACTAATTCTTTCTGAATCACATGACTAAGCTGCAATAGTACTGTACACCCTTGTTATGCTTTAATGCTCAACTATCTTGACTGACAGCCAACCAGTAAATAGATAATGAAAAAGAAAGGTACAGTGTGTATCAGATCATTATGAACATGAATGAAAGGACAAACCAGATTTTCTACATTTTCTTGCCTTTAAATGAGATTTCACAGAGTGAAAAAGTAAAAGCATGGAAAATTAGTGAACCATAAATGAACAAACCCCTAATGGTACTGATTTCTCTCCTGCAGATAATACGGTCTGCACTAATTCTGTCTGGTCCAGTGCCAAAATGCAGGAAGATTTAGTCCTCCTGAGGAAGAATCAGAATGAAGGTAAAATCGGTCTGAGGATTTGTAGGTTAAGCCCGACTAGATTTCATTTACAAGACACACACAGCTAAGCAACATCACTTACTATTGGCCAATCAGATGGCCCTGCGTCTGCGTCAAATCCCACTGACAGTAAATGGACAGTGTTGTGCAGTCGTCAGCTTACTTAAAGCACTTGCCTGTCCTGTGTGGGATTAATTAAGAAACAGCAGGCTCTTAATTGTAAATAGGGCACTAGACTTCAGCCTCTTACAACTGTTGAGGACCTTCAAAAGACTTCTTAAATCAACATTCAGTATTTTAGGTTAAAATGTATAGGGGAGAAGTGAATATCTTTAGTCTTATTCTCACCAATTTCAAACATCCTTTTACCTATTAAATGGCCCTGTGGTGTGATACAGTAGTTTTAAATGTAAAAATCTCTCAATTACTATAATTATAATATCTCAATTATTATAAATTAATTATTATTATTTTAGGTTTATAAAAGATGCATAATAATTATAAAAGAATTGCTAAATGTTTTAGATGGTGTATAGTATGTCACAACATAGGACATGTCAATTTCAATGGCAACTATACATTCTAACAAAGCCATCTGATTTTTTGTAATGTAACAATCTAACTAATGTTAAATGTAGTTTAGCTTAGAGCTTTTGATAAAATGGCAATGTTCAAATATTTTAATCTTGTTATTTTTAAAAGATAATGAAAAGATTATAAGCTTACTCTAATCTGAATTTCAAATAGTGGTGCACATTTATTTTAAGGTAATAATGCTGTTGAACCTGTCTGTATGGATGTGCCACATTTCCTTGACTAAGCAGAGTAAAATCACCTGCCATGTGGTATTTCCCCTCGTCAAAATACGTGAAGAAGCAAAACAGGAAACGAGGTGCAAAACCACATACGTTTTCTCATACGGAATGTACTATTTTGAGCTCTACTTTGGTTTACCCTTTTTGTTTGTCTAACAGAGATTCTGTAATGTCTTGATAAAATAAAAACTTTTTAAAAAGCAAATGTTTTATATAGTGACTTGGTTGCTAATTGCCTAATAATTAGATTAAATGTGCTTACATTTCAGATATGGTGAGAGCTATAAGAAGGGCTGAAAGCCAGACAATGGCAGACAGAAAGACCATTTCAAGAAACATACAGCAAGAGATTCCTGTCCAGGTCGGAAACACATGACATTTGTGTCTAGCTGAGTTATGTTGGTAGAATTAGATAAATTAGATTATTTATTTATTTTCATAAATTTTTCTATTTAAAATGTTAATTCTTTCTTTGGTAGATTGTCTATTATGAGGGGTGTAATCCAAACCAAGATCAGCTAAGAAGCAGACAGAATGGCATGGTGAGTTCAAGCCCTGTCCCCCCAGGTGCTTTGTGCCAGCTGGAATGAAACTGATCGTCATTTATTACACAGAGGCTAGAACAACAGTTGTCCCTGTACAGGGTATCATGGTTGATTGTGTCTGTACAGATGGTTGGGTGAGGGGTACGTTCTGCCCATGTAATCCCTTTGCCCACATGGCATTAGAGTCAGTCGAGACGGCTAAATCTGTAATGTGTTCACCAGTTTAGTACTCCATCAATGGACTCACTGTTGAGAGTTATCAATATCATTGTTACGGGGCGAACGAGATGAGACATGAGGATCCATATGCAAGGCTTTTATTTACAGACGTAGTCATAAAACAGGCATGGGTTCAACAATGGCAAACAGGTATATCATGGGCAAGACACAAGAGTAATCCAGAAACAGGCAAGGGTCAATCGACGGCGAATGTAATCCAACAGGGCAAAGCAAACGGGTAATCCAAAAGACAAACAATAATCCATGCGAGGTGCAAACAGAGAGTCCAAACGACAAGACGAGAGAGAATTCCAAGACGGGCAGAAGATCAGTAAACAGGCAGGGCAACACGAAGTGACTAGACTTGGCAGCAGCTGTGTGTGTAATCAGTGCAATGGATGCTGGGATATGTAGTCCGGGATGACATGCAACAGTTTGTGTAGTGTGAGAGTCAATGTAACGGAAGGGTGACCTCTGGTGGCAATCGGACAGAAGTCCATGGACAGGATTCGTGACAATCGTCAGCATAATAAGGGTGTAGAATAAAAAAAAAAAATCATTTTTATCATAAACCTAAAAAATAAAAATATCCTTATAATTATGTTTATATATTAATGTTCCTATAAGTTAGAATTATATGTAATTATTTATAACAATTATTTAATTTATTTAATTATTTTATTTAATATGCATGCATGTATGTAGGTATTATTTAACAATGTCATTTAATTATTATGTCTACTCTGCTGACAGCCTGAGACAGCAGTTGCAGATGTGACACAGCTAAGAGGGACACGTATGAAAAAAGTAGAGAGGAAAAGCAGTAAGAGAGGAACTTCAACACAAGAAACAACATGTAAATATACCTATTAAACCTGATGCAATAGCAGTTACTTGTTTTGTGTTTTTTTTATTTTAATCAAAAGCTGTTTGTAATGTCAGTGACATATATTGATATTTTTATCTGTGTCTTCCAAAGCTCACATCAAAGGTGCCAAAGGAATGATGTGTGACACTGCTGGGGTGTCAAAGGTCACAGAGACAGCACCCGCCAGACATCGCTGGAGTAACCCCACTGAAACAGCCTTAAACTGGGTACCAGCCAACAACACCTGTCTACCTCCCTGTAATGAATATCGAGTTCACATCTGTGACTGGACTACATCCACAACTCCAAGTCAAGAAGATAAAATCAACATTCGAAACTCGAAGAGAGACTCCTTCACCAAAGGAGTGTTGCGTTCTAGCACCAGTGTGGATTTCTGTGCCTCCAATGTAAGTCATTTTCGATATATACTATCATTCAAAATTTGATATATACTATAATTCAAAAGTTTTTTTAAATGTTGTTGGAAGAAGTCTCTTATGCTCTCAAGGCTTCATTTATTTGTTTACAGTTTAAAATAACAGTTTTCTATATTAGTATATTTCAGTTTTCAATTTTCAGCAGCCATTACTTCAGTTTTCAGTGTCACATGATTCTTGAGAAATCATTCTAATATGCTGATTTGGTGCTCAAGAAACAATTATTTCACATTATTCTTTGCAAAGCATGAATATTTGATAAATATGCAAATTATCAAAGCTTCTTATTTCATGTGTTATAAACTCAAGCTGTTAACCTCCTATCAAGTACTGAATGCATGTTATTATTACAATACAAGACTTTTGAAGATTGTCCTGTCGTGCCAACCAGTGATATTTTCACATACTTCAGGGTGATGACCTCCAGTGTTTTCTGGAGGTCATGTAAATTGATAATCTTTTCCTGTTTCCTGCATTCTCATATGTATCATCTTTCTAGCACTGAGTAGGAGTGAACAACTACACTGTATCACTCTCAAATAAAGTGAAGCTCTCATGAAAGTTTAGGAAGGGCTGTTTGTTTTCAAAGGCTTGTAGTGTTTGAAGAAATAGGTTATAATGCTGTAATCCTGGATTTGGATTTTGCTATGGCCGACTGCACACAGCTGGATTAGGCTGTTATTGTCTGTAGGACACTATTGGTCAGTTCATGCCTTGTACAGCAATCTGTATTTTTAACTAGGCCTTTTTTTTTTTTTTATTAAATTCCACAATTTTAATTTAATTAAACACAAAAAAGTGTTTAATTTTTGTGCCTCTAGCAACACAAAATGTAATTGCAAAATTATGATTATTTTCAAACAAGTTTCCAGAACACTCTCCCCATCTTCTATTTGCCGCTCAAACAATAGTCCCGCCCCCAAACTCATGTCATTGGTTGAGCCAATGTTGCTGGTGAAACAATGTTTTTCGATACTATCACAGAGCAAATTGTTCAGTAAAATAAACATATTTATGGCTTACTTTTAGTTTTCAACGTATATAGAGGCTGGATTTTAATTCTTGTCATATACAGAGCCCATGACTAACATGCTTTGCATATGCAAAGTACATAAGACAGATGTCAGATAGAACTCGTCGTTGTGCAGTTTTGCAAAAAAAATCCTAACTGAAAGTTGTGAAAGTAGACAGGAAGTGTTTCAAAAGCATGGGTCCACTTCCTTGCGTGCAGTGGAGCTACTTCCCCTATACAGAGACCAGATTTTGCAATTTGGGCAAAGGACAAAAGGAATTTTGATTAATAAGCTTTCACTTGAGTATATTTATAGTTTATCCTATAATGTGAAATTACGAACATAAATCATAAAGTTATATGAAAAACATAGTGGAAGCACAGATTCCTGCATCTATTTTACAATCTGAGGGCCTTCATGAAACTAATATGATGAAAGGAGGGTTCAATTATGTAAAAAGCACCTCTATGGAAATTCTTTTTTTTTTCTGCATGCCACAGAGTCCCACTTATGAATTTGTGTTACTCGAAATGACTGTGAAGTGGTGAACCACAAAATGCAGACTCAAGCATTTTGTGTTTTTCCCCTGTAGAACTGATGCCTTGATAATAGACAGAACGCGCATTGGCTCACATCCTGTGTGATTTAAGGAAGTTCTTGTAATCGGTTGTTCTGCTGAGACATTGCATTCTTACACTTGTGGAGCTGAGAGGTAAAACCACTAGTTTCAGATTAGACTTTCATTTTAAGGAAAAACTGAACACACACGTCAAGGCGATGCTCCAAAGGGCTGCTTCAAATGCATCAGACAAACCAAAAAGTCTTAAACCAAAGGTAGGATTTATTAATGTATCTTAAGATTGCAGGTAACAATCTGAAGGTGTTATTTGAGTAGATATATTAGGCTATAATATCATGCAGTGATGCCATATCCCAATAGATCTGACGTTTGAATATGGACCTAGAAATTGATATTTTTAAGAACAAAGTAACAAAAAGAAAACAGCTTGACACCACACAGCATTACTGAACAAGTATGAACAGCTTTGTCAAGGTCAAATTCATGAGAATGGCTCTAATGACATCACAGTTTGCTATTTGATTGAGATTATATTTTAAATTTAGATAATTATCTGCATTTTCCTGTGGAAGAGCTGACAGGTTTTGAGCAGATTATGAATCATTCAGTGTTTTTATCAAATTGAAAACTGTAAAACGATGACATAATGGACTGAAGTGCTCTATAACTTGATGACATGGACACTATAATGACTTTTTTTTTTGTTTTATGCAAAGTAATGTACATGTTGCATGTGCCTTGCTGTTATATCCTTTATAAATGTGGTCGGTTTTATTTACCTGACACAGCGATCCACCAGTTTTGGAAGATTTGACACATTCAGAAATCAACACTCCCCTTCCAGACTTGAGGAAAATGGAGCACCTGGGGTAAGAGAAATTAGCATGAATAAGACATTTATTAATCTGAGAGTTTATGCCCCATTATGTTTCTATGTTTGTTATACTATGTTTCCTCACAAAATATTTTTCACTGTCTCTTAAATGAAAAACCAGCAGCCTACTTTAATTACAATTGTCTAACTGACTACCGGATGGAGGATTTTATATATATACGCAAAAGGATTATCAAAACATATTGTTTTTGCGTGTATAAAACAGGCAGAGAGTGAATCAACAGCAGAAAACTGTGAGAAACCAGGAAGTTTGGGAAAAAAGATGAAAGCCATCTCGATGACTATGCGTAAACGGATGGCCAAGAAACACGTCAAATCCTACTCCGAGGACATGGTGAGTCACAATATAAGTTCCTCATTTGATTACTGACACTGATTAAGCAACAAAGTTCTTTATTACCCAAATATCAGCAGTTCATCAGATTGTACAGGGGTTGGTTGGCCTCGTTTGTAAAAGAAAATGATGTGAACAAAGGTTCGAGTTCTTACTGACGCGGTCTATAACTTATCGTTGGGTTTCTGCGTAGACCTGCGTGTTACTCACACTTGTGTGGTGCGACATTACTGTCGAATTCAATATATTTGGCACAGCAAATCTTTTAGTTTCAATCTTTCTGAAAATCAAACGTTGAATTGTGCCTCGTTTGTAAAAGAAAATGATGTGAACAAAGGTTCGAGTTCTTACTGACGCGGTCTATAACTTATCGTTGGGTTTCTGCGTAGACCTGCGTTTTCCGCTCTTGTCATTTACCTACTATGTGCGCGAATCAGTGGGCGGGGCTAAACAGGCAGTGATGTAGAAGCAGGCGTTGATCATCTACTACGGAGGCGGTGTTTAGCTACACTATTACATCAGAGTAGAACATTCCACAACCTGTTGTTTTGGCAGATTGGATTCAATATAAGCTGTTTTTAGACTAACGAGAAAGTTTCTGAAAGTTCTCAAACTTACAGGATGTTTTTTATAACACAATGACCTCTTATATGTCAAAAGATCAAGGGAATTTTGATTTCTCAGTTCATGACTCCTTTAAATTTGAATCGGTTTTGTAACTTCTGTTTTGACCCAGAAAAAAATTAAGTACACTCTCAGAAAAAAATGTACAATACAAAGCCGTACCCTAAGGTCCTAAAGCTATATATTAGTACCTAAAATGTGCATATTAGTACCTTTTTAAAGGGTACTGCTGCAGTGACAGTTTTGTACCTTTTTTTGAGAGTGTACCTTATGACCCAGAAATTATGACCCACAAAATCAACCTCTGAAACCAACCAACCCCAGTTCTCCCTATCACTTAATCTGTAGAATAGTTCATACGAAGATCCAGACTGATATTTTGTTTGGCGCAGGGTGATGACACTGAGGGAGAAACAGAGAATGGGTCTCCAGCAGAGAAGAGCTCAGACCAAACCAGCAACTCATTAGAAAGCCTCTACAGTGGACAGAGCTCATCCAGTAAGCATCTACACACAAGCGACTGAAGTGGAAAGTGATTTGACATTGTAATCATACTCTTTTTGTTTTTGTATTTATTGGCTCAGGTGGTGTGGCTAGCAATTCAGATGTATCCAGTAACAGACACAGCCTGAAATTGGAAGAGGAAGTGCCCTACACGGGACAGTTCTGCGGGCGAGCTAAAGTACATACAGACTTTGTCCCCAGTCCATATGATACAGACTCCCTAAAACTGAAGGTGAAATAAATATTGTGATTTTTTAAATTCAAGATGGCTTCCAGTTGAATGAATCAGCACAATTTTAAAGGAGAAACATTAACTGCCAATAGTAAGTTAATGGTGTTGGTAATCGTTTTCAGGTGGGAGACATCATCAGCATCATAAGTAAACCACCTATGGGCATATGGACTGGCATGCTTAACAAAAAAGTGGGAAATTTCAAGTTTATTTATGTGGATGTTCTGCCTGAGAAAGAGAAGGAAGAAGAGGAGGAGGCCCCAAAAATAAGACCTGTGAAAGTATGCAAGAAGCCACGACCGAATACACTCCTGGAGTTATTAGAGAGACTTCATTTAGAGGTATAACCTCAGACAGGACACATATGTGTATACAAGTACACACATGGAAGCATCACTTATCCTTCATGCCCACCTGCTTAATCCAGCAAAATCCACCAGAAAACGATCTGTGGATTTTAACGTCACCTCACACTGATTGGCTGCCACCAGTGTTTTAATTGTTAACTAAAATAAAAACTATTACAAACAATATATTTTCTGTAACTGAAAAAAACTGAAATAAAATCAAATCTAAATATTAGACAAAAACTTTTAAAAAAAAAATTTCTAGAAATGTTGCCTTGTAAATTAACTGAAATGAATTATTTTAAGTTAAAGTACTAAAATAGATGAAAAACAAAAACTTTTTTTTTTAGAAACGTTGCCTTGTAAACTCACTGAAATAAAAATATTAAAGTACTAAAATATGAATATAACAATATAAATTATATAATAGTAATATATGTTAGTATATAAATGTATTAATAAAACAATATAAATAATAATAACTTTATAATTAATGTTTAATAAAAATTACAAAAACATTTAAAAACATACTTACAACAAAAATAAAATCAATATAAAATAAAAGCCATTTCAAAAAAACAATGCTATAATAGTATATAAATTATACTGCCAGCTTTTTTGTCATTGGCATATTTGAGCTCTTCTGATTACTTTGACACTCTCACCCCTTGTTACTACATATCAATCCCACAAAAAAGTTAATAAATAAATAAACACGAGAATTAATTGAAAACGCCCGTTCACATCCACACTAGTCGACATATATGATTTAGTGCAAGTGCAAGATAATTTCCCTTAAATTTTGATTATATATGTCCATAAATTTCTCTTTGACTGGATAGTTTATAGCTGTATTGCACATTTTAATGTTGGAAATCTCTTTTGTCACAGGAATATGCATCTTCATTACTCCTCAATGGCTACCAGACAGTAGATGATCTCAAACATCTGAAAGAGAGGCATTTGATTGAGCTGAATGTGACCGATCCAGAACACAGACGCAGGTTGCTTGCTGCATCAGACTGCCTCTATGTCACAAGCAGTGAGTATCAATACAAGCAGTTTGATTGACAGCTTTGGGCAAAACTATATTTTGGTTTTCTCTGTGTCCATCTCAGGAAACATTATGTCAGCAAGCCTCAAGAAGGACACAGATACCGCAATCTTTGCATCGTCTATTTTTGTGTTTTGATTAAATTCTGCCTTTTTGAAATATTAGAGTCAGACAGCGAGTCCAGTACTACTGAAAGTCACAACCTTATCTGTTTTAATTTAATCTATAATGCTCTGTGCAGTCAGGAACAGCCTTTTCCTGTAAATGCAGGTCAGGATTAATTGGCGTTTGAATGTGGGCTCACTGTGTGAGCAGGTGGCAGATGGCTGGGCTGCTCTGGCTGATATGAGTGTGGGATAATAACCAGGAAGACATACTGTCATTTAATTAACATTAATTTCATTTGGGTTTTTGCGCAAATGCAACCCTGATTTGTTCGGCAGAGATGAAATTAACGAGCAGGAGTTTGTATGAGAGATTTAACCTTTCTTTGCTTTGGCTTACAGAAGACGAAGAGGGAGCGATGAAGGGCAATGAGGAGGAAGACGAAGATAATGACTGTCCCAGAGACTCGGGTTGTTTTATTCCTGCAGAGTGTCCTGACAGCTGAGCTGACAGTTATCCAATGTCTCTCTCCTGATATCATTTCATGTTAAAGCTACAAACAGACCCAGAACTCTGTTAATATGTTTTCTTTTTTTGTGCTCGTCTTTCATTTAGATGTACTTGTGTTTTTTATTTACACGTTCTTTGTTCAGCTTTGTGTTGATGTTAACCTATTTCTGTTACTGCAGATGTTATTTGAACTTTCATGGCAACATACTTGTGTGTGAGGAATTTTTACAGCTTTTACAAATGTTTATGATGACTGAATTGTATATAATATTATTAAAAAATGTTATTTATTCTGAAGCTTTCTTTTACTTCCTCATTAGGCTGTGTTTGAATACACACTACTACTGCTCAAATTTATGCTATTAACTTTCCATCTGTTTCTCAAAATAACTATAAAAATAACTACCGGTATTTGGTTTTGGTGGGTGTTTGGTGGGATGAGTTTCCAGATGACTAGTCACGTGCAATGACTGATAAGGAGGTTTAGTTTCAAAGCACTTTCCAGTTTCCATCCTTTACCTAAATTAATACTTAATACACAATTCCCCTCTCTGATCAGCATGCTAATATATATCGGTAATGACTAATATTTACTGATACAATCTTGATTTTGCCTAAAATGTGTTTATTTTTGGTAAATGAAAAAGTTATTTGAAACAAGACACAAGTTTATAGTTCGTCAGTTGTAAAAAAAAAAAAAAATTGTTTTCATACACTTATTATCAATTCATACATATTTATTATCAACTAAGGTCATGTGGCAGGAAATAAATGTGTGACCACATTTATTCATTTGATTTCTCTGCTTGTGAAGGGAGGGGGGGGCAAAAAAACAAGAAACTCGGAAAAGATGCATATGATGATAGAGTGGAAAAATATTTGTATTTATTAACAATAATTAATACTACTACATAATTGATAAATGCAGGTTTGCCTGTAATTATATTTTTTAATTGCAACTTAATTTTTATATTTTTCAAATGTATTATTATTATTATCATTATTTGTTTGTTTGTACCATGCATACTGTCTTGCGCACTAGAATGCTGAGTTTCTTTAAAGTCTTCTTCTTCTTGTTGTTGCTTTACGGCGGATCGCACTTATAAGTGCATTACCGCCACCTATCTCTCAAATGGACCATTGACACTCTATCTACAATCTCCTGATTAACGTATCAACCCACACACAAACACCCTTGATTCTTGTACCCGCTTAGAGTCTTCATAGAGCTTCATTCGGCGCTGCGTGTTCAGCTCCTCCGTCCTCCCTCAGCCCTCTTAAGCGGGATTTGAAAGGAGAGAGAAAAAGAAAAGAAAAGAAAAAGAAAAAAAAAATTTTTTTTAAATAAATAAAACAACACTTATACCTTCTTGTTCAACCCAGTTCTTCCCAAATACTGTAACAATACTGATTTCATGTTTCTTCCTGGATTTAATACATTCTTAATTATAAACCGCTCACCCTTATTCTCTAGTTCATCCTTCAACTCATTTCTTTCAACAGTATATTTCCTACAGTACATTATAACGTGTTCAACTGTTTCATTAACGTCACATACCTCACATAGCCCTGTTGGATGTTTACTTATTAAATGCATTGTACTGTTCAACCTTGTATGCCCCAATCGCAACCTTGTAATCATGTTCTCCTCCGTCTGCTCCAACCTGATACTCTTCCCTTATCCACTGCTGATTGTATTTGATACACATGCCTACCTTTGGTATCTATGTCCCAATACTGCTGCCATAATTTCCAAATATTCATTTTGATAATTGATTTAATTTCTGACCTACTAAGAGGAATCTGAATATCAACTATTTCTCGTTCTATGGCCTTTTTTGCTAAATTATCTGCCTCTTCATTACCTCTCAACCCAATATAAGCCAGTACCCACAGAAACTGAACTTTTATACTATTTTGCTTAAGTGAATATAATTCTTGAAAAATCTCTATTATCATATCTTGTCTTATTTCTGACTTCTGCTGATTCAAACTTATTAGGGCTGAACTTGAGTCTGAACATATTACTGCCTTGGATATTTTAACTTCACTAATCCACCTTATTGCCATAATTATTGCAAACATTTCTCCAGTAAACACTGATAAACAATCTGATATTCTACTGCTCTTATTCACTTTTAACTTCGGTATTACAAATGCAGCGCCCACATGACCCGTTTTTGGATCCTTTGAGGCATCTGTGAAAATGTGCATATATTCTCCATACCTTGACCCCATATATTCCCTTACATCATATACTTCTGTTTCGTAAGCCCCTTCCTTTTGCCTTCTTTCTGATAAACTTAAGATCTTCTTTAAAGTCTCCGGTTTCGAAACTAAAAATGATAACAGGAAGTTGTGCAGAAGTCAGCTTGCGATTTACAGTGCATTCTGGGAAATGTAGTTAACAGCAGCAGTTCCTATCACATTTGTAACCATGCTACTGATTAAAAGAACTACAACCCCCATCAGCCAAACAGTCCGTATTAGGTCGACGTGTATGTTCGCTCAGTCAGAGCAGATACTGAATGAACATCTCTTATACAAATATCCATAACATACTGGGTTGGAAACATGGCCGGGGAAATGTCCATAATAGGTAAGTGTTAAATTAAACTAATGTACTCCTAAATATATATGTCAAATTTAACAGAATAACCATCTATGTAGCATTTAGCTAGAAATAGCACTGACGCATCTGTCATGAAATAACTGACTGTACGTGGATAACAACCGGTACATCAGACAGACAGATAGATATATTGTCCAACTTGAGACAAAAAAGTCCAAAAAAATGTACGCCATTTATAGACACAGCTGGCGTCCGTACTTTATACTACAGATGTTACAGCGGCTGTTTCAACATCTAGTTAGCTAACGTTACCTATCTAGACAGCATGCTTGCGCATCAACTCACCAGGAATATGGTCTAGAATTGCCGTGTTTTATTTTTTCTACATACCACGTTTTTGGATAATATACTTTTGTAATACATATGAACGACATGCGTATAGTAACCATTAAGTTTTATGGTAGCCTATATAACGAAAGAAACATTTCCTGATTTCACCATTTTTTCTTAGTCATATATATTTTTGTGTGTCCCTACAGGTTCTGTTATCCTGGCTTTGTTCCTGGCAGGATACCTGGGACAGCAGTACCTGCCCCCTCCGAAGCCCAGGGTCATTGGGTTGGATCTTGGGACCACTTTCTGCTCTGTGGGAGTGTTTCAGCCTGGCACAGGCGAGATTGCGGTTATTGAAGATGACAAAGGTCGCAACAGCATTCCGAGTGTGGTGTCATTCACCCCCACTGGTGTGTTTTCTGGACATGAGGGCCAGGAATTGTCTGACACAAATCCTCAAAACACAATTTATGATGCCAAGAGATTTATAGGGAAGATTTTCGATGAAGACACTTTAGAGAAAGAGAGCGCGCGATACCCGTTTAAGGTACACATTTCATATTTTACAGTCTTTAATTGCTCTTGCACTGCTTACAGTGTCTCTAACATTTTCTTTACTATTTTAGGTGATATTCAACAACAGGAGTGCAGAATTTTTAGTCTCTACAAATAGCACCTTCACAGTTACTCCTGAATTCATCGGATCCCGTCTCCTGCTGAAAATGAAAAAGATGGCGGAGAAACAACTAGGAGTACCTATCGATAAAGCGGTTATATCAGTGCCAGCAGAGTTTGATGAGAGGCAAAGAAACTACACCATAAGAGCTGCTAACCTAGCTGGTCCGTTTACTACTCACTTCTTAAGGTTTACATTAATCGCAAAAGCCGGTCATTTCATTAGGAATCCACAATTAGGAAATTTTTCGCACAAATTCACTGCATTGACCAACAGAAAGCTACTTGGTTTGAAAGTAATTTCAGTGCAAGACAAGCTGTCCTTCATGCATCTCTATGCTATTGACAATTGACCTTTTTTTGCACACAAAATTTTGCTAATGTAACCACAGCTTTAGTCTGTCACAACTTGGTTGTCTTGCTATTGGAATCTATGGAAGGCACTCAAACAAAAAATAAATAAAGGTAAATTGTGACTTTTTATCTCACAATTCAAACCTTTCCCTTGCTATTCTGAGAAAACTCAGAATTCAGAGGAAAAAAGTCAGAGTTGTGAGATGTACACTCAGAATTGCAAGAAAAAAGTAAGAATTCTAAGTTTATATCTCGGAATTCTGACTTGTTTTGCAATTACCTTTTTCTGAGTTTTATATTACGTGGCGGAAACTGGCTTCCATAGAAATCAGTACAAGTATCCTTGTAAAAGCTGATAATGTTCTGGTTTAAATCTATAATAGTTAACTGATCGATCATTGTGCATGTCTTCCTCATCAGGGCTGGACATCCTGCGGGTGATAAATGAGCCCACGGCGGCAGCGATGGCTTATGGACTGCATAAAGCAGAAGTGTTTAATGTGCTGGTGGTGGATCTGGGAGGAGGAACACTAGATGTGTCACTTCTTAATAAGCAGGGTGGCATGTTCCTTACCAGAGCAATGGCAGGTGAGCTGGGTGATATGACATTATAAATGTATCAACTAGGAGAGATTTTACTATGGTAGGTATATTTGTGTGGCTATTAATGGGCAGGGCTACTTTGTTATTTACATATTTGAGACACATCCTGCTCTGTATTGTCTCCATTATTGCAAGTTTGTTTATTAAAGCAAAGAGGAGGAAGAAATAATGGGTGTAACATGAAGCAAAGTTTAGTTGTATATGGTTGCCAAGCAGTTAATTCTAATTTAACGTACACATTAATGTAGAATTCAGCTGATGTCCATTTACGGATGCAAGAAATTTGAAGCTTTTTTAATTACAGTGTTGCACTCTAAATGATTTTTTGCACCAAATACCACACTTGTTCATTTGTTATGAAAACTGCATTGAAAAATCCGTGCAAAACTACGTGCAAACTTCTTGTCCTTCTAATATTGATACAGGCCATTCACTTGATTTGTGCAGTTTTTTTTTTTCTTCAGAAAGGGTTCAATGGTATTTTCCTGTTGTCCTACTATTTTATTATAACAAATAATATACATATTCATTTATCATTTTCACTCACCCCTTTTCTTTAAAATGGTTTAAAGGCTTGAATGCCAGGTTCATCATTTTATAAAGCGTTTTGCTTTTAGTCACAATTATGAATTCCCTTTCCTGTCCTGTCCAACAAAAAAAGAGAGGCGACTCAGAATTTTCGCCGTCGTCAAATCGTTCCACTTATGTCCAGTACTGATGTTTACGCTTGTTATTTGTCTTTGTCGGTTTTTCTGTCTTG